CTTTCCATTTTTTGTGATGCCTGCTTTAGGGAGCGGAGCTGCGAGCTGTACCATGGGGCTAGCCTTCTCTGTTTCACTGCCTTCCTTTTCAGAGGGGCAATGGTATAAGTGTATTACGCAGGAAGGCTGCAGTACTATCAACAAGATTATTGATTTGTGTGGGAGTAAAGTTAAGGTGGCCTCCTTCCACTGTGTTGGCAAACGGCACTGAAGTAGATAAAGACGGAATTATTTCCTTAAACTTGGTAACAGCATTGCCAGATAGACATCTGCTGTAGTGGAATTGTTTCCCACATAGAGTATAATCCATTAATGTAAATTCAAAAGTTATTAGAAAATGGTCAGACAGAAGAGGGTTATGGGGAAAAACTATTAAGTGTTCAGTTTTGATGCCATATGTCAGAACAAGATCAAGAGTGTGATTAAAACAGTGAGTGGGTTTATTTAGTTTGAGAGAAGCCAACTGAGTCTAATAATGAACAGAATGCATTGTTGAGGCTGTCATTGTCGGCATCTACATGAATATTAAAGTCGCCTACTATGATTATTTTATCTGTACTAAGCACTAAATCAGACAGAAAGTCTGAGAATTCACTTAAAAACTCTGAATAAGGAGCAGGTGGACGGTATACAATAACAAACAGAACAGGCTTTTGAGTTTTCCAGTTTGGGTGTGAGAGACTCAGGGTGAGACTTTCAAATGAGTTATAACTATGTTTAGGTCTAGGGTTGATTAACAGGCTTGAGTCAAAGATCGCTGCCACGCCACCACCTCGGCCTGTGTTTCGAGGGATGTGACAGTTAGACACAAACATAAAATTAGATATTATGTCAGACTGATGCACACACTAACAACAACACACAGAAGTATAGTAATGGCAGGATTCCACTGGTCATTAGTCCTTGTTCCTGATGAGGAATGTAAATTAGGAGCTCAAGCTTCAGAATTAGCCCGTTTGTGTACCGAGGTGAAGACCTGAGTTGTGCACAGGTGTTGAAGCCTGCTGTGGTTGGCTAAAGGCTCTGGCCTTTCCTGCAGCTTGTGGTCCTGATGGAAAGGCTGTACAAAGATGTCTGGGCCTCATAAGACAAAACTGGGTCAAGCTATTACATTACAATCCCACTCATCTGTGAAACATAGTGTGCACCTGGCACAATAGATACAAACGAGTCATTCTTAACAAGCCTCATCAATGTGGGCCAACGGACAGTTCAGTGTAGGGATCAGCTGAGAGAGCAATATTAGGCAAACATGAGACTTGACTCAGCTCTTAGTCTACAGAGTGGCAGGATGGTCCTTGGCCGCAGCAGCTGTGGCCTGGCACCACCGCAGGTGCTGCTAGTTACTGCAGCAGGTCTGGCACACCAGGGTACTGAAGGCAGACACAGAGACAGCGTGGAAAGCTCAGCAACCGACCTTTTCTCACCCGGGCCTTTTTGTTCCCCTCTTACACAACCTGGCTACTACAACTTTACAAGAGGCTATATAGAGGCTGTACATGAGGGGGTTGGGGGGGGAAAAAAAAAAAAAAAAAAAAATCAGTTTTAATGACTTTAATCTAAGTGTATGTAAACCACCAAATGACTGATTGATGACATGGTCACAGTTTATTTCCACCAGTGTCATCACTGTTGCAGCCTAACAGTGACTTCCCTTATGCAATGCGCAGCTCCCTATTGTGACTGCCCACATTTCAGAAATGTCATGATGTAAAACATCTTTTTTTGTGGCTTCAAATAATCAAAGTGGCAGTTCTAAGGTATACTGCCAGAGGTTATAGGATTAAAAGCACCACAGGGCTAACGACAACACACAAGCCAATATTTTCTCATAAACGACCATGATGACATTAGCTCAGTTCATTTTGCCTGAGAAACAAA